TATTGTTATTGAATAGCCTAAAGTATTTTCGTTCGTTTTCCCAAGTATACGTCGTAATTGTAAACGGACATGAAAAATACGTTGACGTACAGTTGACGATTCAACGATAAATCAATTTTAGTTGGCCTTTATTTGGAATATGACGATTTCATGATGTGGCCAACTATTTAATTGAAATTATTCATAGTTTAAACACAGATTACAATTATACAAATCAGCGTATTGTTAAATTCGTAAACTATATTTAATAACTTTATTAATATATTACAAATAAAAAAATAACAGAAAGACAATAACTAACATTAAAATACAATAACGTAATACCGTGGGGTTCAAGTGCACAGGCGCTTATTAAAGATTTAAGTTGGCGCCTGGTAGATAGTACCGGTGACCACAGAGCTGGCACTTTCCTGGCTCAAAGAATAAGTCTCGCAATACAGCGAGGAAATGCTGCCAGCGTTAAAGGTACACTGCCACAGGGACCAAACTTTTTAAATTTGTTTTGATTTTCTTCTTTCTTCTTTAATAATTTTTATTATTACTTTATAGGTTAAGAACATTGTAAATACTGTATTTGTGTAAATAAAAAGAAATACATATAAATACAATAACTAAAATATTTGATTGAAAAGGAGTACCTTTAGGCAAGGTTCAGAAGATATTGAAATTGAATCAACGAACCAGGCATGACTTATACTTTGATAATGTCAGATTCTGTTGAACGCATACATTGGGTACAGTTACAAGACTACTTCTTGGACGATGTATGCTTTCACCCTTCCAAAAACGGTTATTGTACGCAGCTCATGTTTCCATATATAGTATTTCTTTTATCATTTGTTTTTTTAATGTTCTATTTGCATTAGTTTCTGAGTAAAGATAATAAATATATATTATTACTGTACTCTTTTTATTTATTGGTCAGCTAATTGGAGTAACTAACAGCCAAAAATCTTACTTTGGGTACACCTTAAGCATGCCAAAATGATAATAATAATAATAGAATAACGTAGTATAATTACGTACGCCATACTTCTAAAACAGGTCGCATTTTTTAAATAACTTGGAACTTTTAATTGTGTCGACTACACAATTAAAAGTTCCATCATAAAATAGATTCTTTCATGGAAAAGATCATTAAGAATGCATAGATATGACCAACAAAGCGACATTTTGTTATCTAGTAATCGGACTTGCTGGCTTTCGTTATTGAAGTTGCATTTATTGAAAGCAAATTGATTTTTTTATTAACTTAAGGAAAACCCTTAAAGAACTAAATACACTTTTCACTAGAAAGTGTATTTAGTGTTGGTGCACACCAATGGACTTTCTTCCGGGGATCGAACCTATGACTTCAGGGATGAGGGTCGCACGCTGAAGCCAGAACGGCTTTACTACATATTTATATTAAACCAGATTTAGCCAATAGCAATATTTTTTAATTAATATTTTATTTATCTTAAGGATTACACAGCTGTATCATTTAGTCGTTTACAACTTAAAAGAGGAGGTTTCAATCCGATGCGTTACTTCAATTCTTACCCCAAGAACAAATTAGTCTAATTGCACTTTTTAACTAAAGTAGTCTGTTTCTTTTCATCACAGCGTTAATCGCATTTGCCAGAAAGAGACAGTAACGTACTATAGTGTAATTGTAATTAGACTGATTTAGGGATTATATTTTGTGACCAACAAAATAATTGCCTATACACTATGTGGAACCAGCTACCCACTGAAGTATTTCCGAACCAATTCGACTTAAGGTCCTTCAAGAAAAGATCGTATCAATTCTTAAAATCTGGCTTTGAGAGTGTCCATGGGCGGTGGTATCACTGAACATCGGTGAGACTCATGCCCGTTTCCTCCGTTCCGTTCATGAGGCAATCAAGGAACACTGCATGTCTTAATTAAAATATATTTAATTAATAGTATTATCCGACAAAGACTAATTTACTGTTTATCGGGTTATAAAGGCGTTGAAATGAGTTTTCATTGTCTTTTCCACCGTTAGTTGGTTTCACAAACGGCTTGGTTGGCTGAACAAGAGGCTTCGATTGTGCTGACTGACGTTACCGACATTCGGCCCAATTGACAGCGACCTATTTTGCAAATGACTTATATTCGTTGTGGTTTAGTTCATGGAATATAAAAATAAGTATAGCAGAGTAAGTAAGCACTGAAAGCGTGTCGCAAGTAGATTTTCTAACGCACGCTGATTTTCTTCTTCTTCTTCTTCTTCTTGAAGTGCCTCTCCACTGCTGGAGGTTAGCGGTCAGCTCGTCATAGATTTATTATTATTAGGTTTATTTATATATGACTTTTTATATTTTTATTTCGTTGCTATTCGCTTTTGTGTAATTGTTACAAACATTTGGTTGTTTGTTGGGTATGCCCACTGGTAACATACAAGCATAATTATGATATTATATAAATGTACATAAAACCCTTTTAAATGTTTAAATGAACTGTTATACCGTTAAAAGTAAGAATCAATTTTGATGTATTAAATCGACAAATAAAGAGAATATTGAAGAGCATGCAGGTAACATACATGCATTATTATGATATGATATGACTTAGGGACCTTCAAGAAAAGAGCGTATCAATTATTAAAAGGCCGGCAACGCACTCGCGAGCCCTCTGGCATTAAGAGCGACGGTATCACTTAACATCAGATGAGCCTACTCTGCTCGTTTGCCCCTGTTCTATAAAAAAAATGATAGAAATACATGTATATTTCTATAATTAAAAAAATGATAGAAATACATGTATATTTCTATAATTAAAAAAAAAATATATATATACATAAATAAATGTTTAAATAAACTGTTATCCGTTTAAATTAATGTTTTATTAAATTAAAGCGAAGAAATTTTTATAATAACAGTTAATAAATTACATATAAATTTGTTACATATTACGTAATGCTGATTGAACATTCGAACTTTGAGATATTTGTGGTGTAGAGCCTCTACACTCTCAATGCCTACGCCGTAGCAGTGGTTACAGTAATCTAACACGACCTAAATACCTCGGAAACTGCTTTAGCGGATTCATGTAGTATCCAAATTAATATCTTCAAAGTTTAGAATGAATTTAAACCTAAAAAGACCAGACCTAAAAAGGCTTCAGTGCCACAGATTTTGTTTACAAAATAGTGAAAACCATAACTTCAATAAAAATTGATAATTTATTTCAAAATTTCGTTTGGTAGTAATAATTTGATTCCTAAATGAAATAGATTCCTTTATCGCTTCTGGTATTTTAAGTAGATAAATTATGTCTTTCATGCTACATAATTTGGACAGCTATTATTAAAATCCTGCGCAGACGAAGTCGGAGGCACTAGCTAGTAATTAATAAGATTTAGGCTTGGACACATCTTAAAATGACTCACCAATCTCATGTTACGTCATCGACATAGATCCATAAAGCTATTTGGTACTCGAGCGCCTATTACATACCATTTAAATAACGTCCTGGCGCGTTAACATCCTTGAGACAAGGACATTACGACGCCAGCTCCGTACTTAGTCTAGGATTCTGTTAATACATTTATTCATATCATTATTTATAGAGATTAATAATTGTTGAATAGATATTTCATATCATTTGGTTTGAAGATCAAGTCAGATGTTACAATTCATAATTAGTCTCCTAGGTTCTATTCGTGCCGGAACTGTTATGGTTCATTGGCCTTAAAATATCAATTATAATATGTATATTGTAGGGATATTCCCTAGTGGCTAAGTTTTTTTTGCCTAAGTGGCTGGACACCGATTGATTTTCTGTCTACGTGTGCATTTAACACTTGTTCGTACGGCAAACATTGTGAGGCAACCAGCATGCCTTATACCAAGAAATTCACGACGCGTATCATGCATAGAATGTGGTCATCTACTTGCCTATTAGAAAAAGTCGATGATCACGAAATAGATACAGAAATCTGTGGCCCAGACCTCAAAATGTTGTGACGTCACTGGTTTTATAAAACGGGGTAAGGCATTCCAATAGGTTGTAAAACTCTTGAAACGTATTGCACTAAAACTTTTATAGTAATGTATATATTAAAGTTATGTGTATATGTAAAACTATTAAAATAATCTTGTGTATGAAACTGAAGAGTTTTATTATGTAACCAATTCTATTTAACTATTAAAAATAATATAGAACCATTTTATACTGTAGCATGGCTTATATTCACAGTTTTAGCCAAAAACTTAAACAAAATTTTGAACATTTACCAACTTAGGCCCATGGCGACATTTTCTTAAACAAAAGAAGTTTTTTAATACAATACATTTGAAATACAATTGTTAACTGTTTCTACTTCTATACATACTGATATTTACTTCAAACCTTTTCTTGACCACAAACCACAAAACCAGGGGGGCTTAGCAAGATGCCTTAACAGTAGTGTGCGTAGAAAGTCGAAAACTAAATTTGTATGAAAGTGACGTTTCGTTACAAATTTTTAATTTAAGGCATCTTGTCTAAGCCCCCCGTACAATCTATATATATAAATGTAATGTTGGTTTGTGTACGATTCAAAAACTCAAAAAGTTCTGCACCGATGAAATTTTAGCATGATATATAATATAATCCGCATCAAGGATTGTTTTTGTCTATTATTTTTTTTAAGTATTATTAATTTTTTTCCACGAGTATTGAAAAATTAAACTGTACATTTTTTGCCACAAGTATTGCAAAATTATATTAAACTGAAATGTATTCTTTGTTTTGTTTCTAATTTCTCAACGATTCAATGACAATGTGCCACAGCGAAGCGTGGGTACAGCTAGTTATTAATAAATCTGCAATGAAATTATGAATCCTATGCAAAGTCACGCAAAAGAATTAGGCACGCATTTACGTTATCAGCATCGCAAATCTAACATTATTTGAGAGTCATTTCTTTCCCAGCGTTAAACGGATTCAAATGTGAAAATGTTAAAATAAAGTGTTGCGTATAAATGTGCGAAAGGTGATTTCTAGTAGATATGACGTCACTCAAGCATGGCGTCAACTTAAGCCGGAGGGCCTGCAGGCGAGCGTTTGGTCTCTTCACCGCTGCTGCACTTTTGACTGTCGCCAACACAAATCCTATTGAAGTAAGTAGATAACAACTCATCACTAAAGTACAAACGAGGGTTTTATTGCATTTGATTTTATGCAAAAAAGAATATATAGAAGATAATAAAATGCTTTAAATTAATTTTATAATTTTTCGTTGTAGATATTAATATGTTCTTTAATTTTGTGGAACATTTTTTTATTCTATCATCAATAGTTTTCGCATGCTATGGAAGATATTTTAGTTTTCGCATGTATGGAAGATATTTTAGGGGGGGGGGCGCAAAACCCCGCAGGGCCCCTTGTGTTATGAGGTTCCCGGGGGGCGGGGGTGCCTTAACATCAGGTGAGCCTCCTGCCCGTTTCCCCGGAAAAAAAAAATACGCATATTTTTACACCTTGGGTAACATTATTTTAGTTTTAGCAGCGATCCTTATTATTTTCTTGCAATTAAAATAATGTAGCATTCAATTGGTGAAAGAACTTTTAAAATCAGTCCAGTACTTTTGCCAATTCATTACAAACATACTTACATAAAAATCTTTCCTCTTTATAATCTTTATATCTTATACTATATATGTAAATGAAATATTTATTATATCAAAATATTCTATATGCTATATATAATATACTTTATAATGCCTTATAAAAATTTGCGGGGGATTTCCGACGACCGTAGAATGCTAGTACTGTTACATTACTAAATATTTGTTTTTGTAAAATACACAAATACAAAACGAGACCTTCCTACACTTATATCTTCGGTAATTTTAGTTTTACCCGTGAATTTCTAGTGCATATTGTATTTTATGAGTTTATGAGTTACTATTGAAATGTCGACGGAGTTAAAACGTGTAACTCACCGCATATGTACCATAACTTCAATGCCTAGTTCGTTTTAGTACTAAAATTAGATGTCTGCGTTACCGCCAGGGGCACTGTAAGATTCTACATACGATTTTGTGCGGAAAGAGAACCATGTGGGATTCGAGGTCGCCGCAGTACTACATCTATTATCACCCTACCTCTTTTCTTATGTTGCTAACACTGTCACCTTATTTAAAATATGAAAAGCTAAAAGTAAATAGTTGAGTTGATTGAAGAAATGAAATGACGCGTAGCAAATAACAATATAGATCCCATAACCGCTTGTTCCGCACAGACTACCATTTAATTATTTCGCAAACAGTGTGCAAGACATAACATCTATTACTAACAAAACACACACACAGAAATACACAAAATAACAATAATAAAAAAAAAGAGAATGAAAGATAAAAAAAAATATTTTAAAGATCAAGGTACGTTTTAAGTGTGTAATGTGTACGCCACGCAAGTATAGACATCTGATTGGCAGTTTATAAATATATAATAAGCAAAATATATTTTTATTGCACGTGTCCAACCACTTTAACGCTTTCGACCTTGCTCCATAGTATAATCGATTATACAAATGAGGATATGAACAAAACAAATCATTATTTTATGTGAAAAACGAAGAAAGAAGGAGGAAAACTTTATTACATAAACAGGATCTTTAGTTAAAAAAAAGTGCACTAGGATTCCCTGTGTCATGGGCTAGTCTCTTCCTTTTGACATGTTAACGGTACTTCGGACATAATAATTTCTACATAATGCTTACATTTTATAATTGATTGTTACGCAATAAGAACATTTTCCTCATAGGATTTTTCAGCATGGGACAGTTTTAAAAGATGTTGTTTAAAAATTTTAGTGAATTATATATTAGTATAAAGTTTTGAATCGTTACTAAAAAATTTGTTTTCAAGAAAGTGGTTAAGATTAGAAGGAGAAAAAGCTTTATATAAGTTGAGATTACACAGAATTGTTGAAATCTAAGGTTTTAGTTAGTTAAACAGAACAGCCATACGTACTGAAATATAAATGTATATTATACTTAATAATCAGTTGGAACTTGATTCAAACTGCTAAACTATTTACCTTAGACAAGGTCTCCGTAACTTGAGATAATTCTCAAGAGTAAATTCCGCGACAAAGCAAGGTCAAGAACGTCGGCTGGCAAGAATTCAGCAAACTACAACGGTATTTTATTAGAACAATGAGAGCAATGTATATCGATTTTCTAGCTTTTAAACAAATCCTTGTTTGTACCCTTAGAAAACCCTTACTTTTGGTTAGTTAATTAGCCAATAAAATATGAAATTAAGCAAATTTAGAGTTCAACTTATGTGTATAAATGTTTGTTTCAAATAAGCTTCTTTTCCGTTTTCCAAGGACGCCATTTATTAAAACAATAATTATTTATGTTAATCGTACCTATATATTATAAATTAATTGCTTTTAAATATCGTCTTATAAAATTTGTTAGCCTATTTTTAAGAAATAATTTGTTTTGAAGCGACAAAAGACTCTTTGTCGTACTTTGAAGTTAATTATTTTTATAAAACATAATTTGACTGACTCATTGAAAACAATCCCAAAAATTGTACTTATTTCGATTTACGAAATAATAATTAATTGGATTAGACATGGATTGTTAATAGGTATCTATGGTCCTAACGTACCTTTAGAATGATCGATATTGAATACGGACACAGAAATATGTCTAGTCCATACCTTTCTAATGTCAGGTCTTCAAATACTTTGTGTTTGTTATATTAATTGGTTATTACTTGATTTTATAAATTTTATACTTTGGATTTTTGCTGTAACTCAAATAAATAAATATATATTTTATTTACGTGTTTATATTATTGATATATTCTGAAAGAAAATTTCAACGATATTCCAGCTTTTTAAGTTGAAATACAACCAAATTTTAAATTGTAATCCTACAGAGTACGACAAAATCGAGTCCGTCCATTGCAGTAGATGGGATCTCAACGTATCCGGGGCTTGGCTTTGGGCCCATGGGTCCTGTTGCCCCTTTACCCGGAGAGCCGCCGGGGACCCAGTTGCGTCAGAAGCAAGAAATCACAACAGCTACCCCATCAACAGAAGAGCCCAAGAAGGAAAGAACCCTTGTAATAGCAGCGTTTGAATTTCATCGTGTAGAAACACCATTCTTGATTGGATTATGGATTTTCTTTGCGAGTATTGCCAAAATAGGTTAGTATTATTAATACTATAGCATTATTTACATGGACTTCACTGCGAAATAATGTGTGTATGTAATTGCCAGTATTGTTTTAGGGAGTGAAACGTTGGAACAAAGAATGTTTCTTGAATAAACGTTTAATACTTGAAACGTCAAAGATTAATTAGACAAAACAAATTTGATTTACGGTAGTGGAATGGTTTTGATTTTATACGTTTAGACATTAGACGTAAAATTTCTATTTTAAAGCGTCGATTATACTCAGATATTTTTTTTTATTATCACTTTACATTATTACTTCTCATTCAATGAACTTTCTTCAGTCGGAGTTTAGAATACTTTGATAGCTCAGTCGAGATTTTCTTCGTCGCTTCACAGAGGATATCTTATGTTTACTCTTTATAAAACTTTTTCGTGAGCTGGCAGTGTACAAAATGCTTTGCGATTTTCTTCTTTTCTTATTTGAGTCTTTATTTGTAGTTATACAGTACTCCAAAATAGGGTCATTCAAATAGCAATTTGCTACAATGGGAGATATTCTTGGCCTAAAACCTGTATTGATTTCGGAATGTGGTTTTTTATCCGTACCGTGAGACGGACAGTGGCTGTCGATTTCAAGAGAGCTGGTGGAAATTGAGGTCCGTTCACCTCCAGAGACAGGGTTTGTGTACTTATCCTCATATCGAAGGGTATGATAATTAGAGAAATAGTTGCCCATTTGCCCTGTATCTTCTTCAAATGAAACGTTTGATGTATTTGATTGTAACAAATTACTGCAAGGACTATGTTTATTACGAAATTGACAACCAACATCTCTAATATACACGATAACATCTTCGCTCTCACTTTTCTTTGCTGTCTTAGGGTTGTCACACTTACATTCAGCGCATTCATATTGACACGATTTATTGGTTTTCGGACACGTGCATGACATCGGGGTTTGCTTATTGGTTGGCGATTGATTTCGATAAGGTGAAAATGTTGGAGAAGTACGAGTTAGCTTTGGTGTCAAAAAAAAAGTAGGTTCATATTCGTTGGCATATTCACAGGGGTTGTGAGTTGCACGGAAGTGTTGCTGGATATTATTACTCTCTGGTTCGTGCTGATAGACTGGTACGTACGCAGGAGTTGAGTACATGTGATGGCACTTAAGACTATCTTCTTCGTTAAGCGGCTTATGTATCAGCTCATCGTAGTCGATTGTCTTGGAAAAAGGGATGCAGAGAGGTAAATTTACACAACGAGGCCGATGAAGACATGGTGGGATGTACTCACAGTTGTTACTTAGTACTCTCATTCTTTGGCAGGAAGGTACCACCGTGCACGGAGGGTGATGTCTACAAGCTTTTGTGATTTTGATTGTTCTATTATTTTTAGTTTTGGATTCCATGTTAAAACATTTGGTACTATTTGCAAAAGTTTGTTCAGATGGCAGTATTTGGCAGACCGGCACCAGTTCACAAGGGGGGTCATGACTACATACGTCTCCATCAACCTTGCTCCTTTGGCTAAAACTACTTACGTATGACTGTTGACCAGGAGAGGTATTTTCCTGTATATGAGGGAAATTCATGTGATCGTCTTCTTCCGTTATATTTGGTATTTCTATTCTTTCTTTGCATTTCGGACATAAAATTTGTCTCGATTTCTTATAACATTTTTGCTTGGGACTATGATTGCACCTCATTTCATGACATGTATGCTTGGACATGTTTTTATGGTAAATAGATTGGGGTGAAATTTGATTGGAGACTCGCGCTACATTGTATTCTGGAAGCATCTCACTTGTTGTGGGACTAGTGACTTTATCCACAAGATTCTTGGTATTATCTTTTGTGGTATTTCTTTTATAATAAGATGCTGTATTTTTTAAACATGTAACTTGATTAGCTGCTGTCACTGTTTTACTATTTTTAGCTAAATCCGTTAAAGACTTTTTATCTGTGCATGGACAAGCGTATGAAAATAATTGACAAGGACAAGGATCATCACCACTTTTATCGTTGTTTTTTAGTTTTCTTCTTCTTTCTTCTGACATTGGTTTAGTATATTCAGTTTTGTATTTAGAATATGACCAAAATTTTTGATCCCGTTCATTAAAACGTGGAATGTTCGGGGTTGAGTAATCGGTGTTATTTAAAAACACATCCGAAGAAATAAGCGAGTTGCTTTTTGTAGGCTTTTTTATTCTTCTATTAATGGCTACACTGTCTTTTGGTGTGATTTTTACCTGGACTTCTGTGGTACATTCTTGGACAATAGCTTTCGACTTTGCATCAAAACCAGTATTTTTGTAACTTTTCTTTGTATTATCTAATAAAATGTTATTAGTGGATACTCCCAAGTCGGCAACACAGTGATATGAGTGCCTCTTTGCTAAATTATCTAGATCATAGAATAGTGTGCTGGTGGAACGAACAACTGATTTGTCACTGGATCTTTTGTTTAGTGCATGATACTTTTCACTTGTGACATACGGTGTTTGATAAAGTCTGATAGATCCTCTTACCTGGGAATACTTTCTATGGGGGTCGCCAGAAATTTCATGAATAGGACATGTTTTTCTATGCTTTGAATGATGACCATCGTTTCGATTAGGTGCATAAATATCATAAATACTTGTATGGGACTTAGCCGTGTGAAGTCTTGCGTTACAAGACGAATCTAACACGACTGCCATGCTGGTGACATATTAGTTTATTTTTTAATTTTAATTAAATTTATACCAAAAACTCACATTTCGCGATCAAAAGAACATCTAGACTATAATTTTTTATAAGTTACATTTGCAAGATTTTGTATTTAAACGTTTAGTGATAAATTTGACATATTTCATTTGTCAGATAAAATGTTTGATACAGAAGAAAATAAATAAAAAATATAGACTCAAAATTGTAAATTAGTTTAATAATATACTACTTATGATTTAATTAGATACATATATTGATTTTATGAAATCCAATATCCACATAGAAGTAACTTAACTTTTGTTTCAGGATTCCACATGACTCCTAAACTGTCAAAAATGTTCCCTGAATCCTGTCTCCTTATATTCGTGGGGGTGCTGATTGGGGCCCTGCTGCTAAGCACTCATAGTGTCCACGTACAGCCACTAACACCAGACACATTCTTTCTCTACATGCTTCCACCAATAATCCTGGACGCTGGCTACTTTATGCCCAACAGGTTATTCTTCGACCACTTGGGTACAATACTTCTGTTCGCTGTCGTTGGAACAGTATTCAATACATTGACTATTGGTGAGTCATAAAAGCAAATATATATAAAATGTGCTATTATTTGATCCAAAATTTTAATCCATTTGAGAGGAACGGAATATCAAAAATTGTTTCTAAGTACTACGCACAGTAAATCAATAAAGCCAGAAAGTAGTACCTACGCGTAAATTAAAGTTGTATTTTATCCACGTTTTAAAGGTGCGCTTACACGAGGGCAATAATTGCTCGAATGGACCGATCTGGAGCAATTAATGGAGCAATTTCAATAAATTCAATAAATTATTTCGGCGATATTGCTTCTAATTCTCCAATATTTCATATCCTCAATTCCAGATACAATTGACAATATCCAATGGACTTGGAAATTCCTAGCAATTTTTGTATACGTCTCATTCCACTTATTTTTTTGGCTTTCTCTTCTTCCGGGGACACGAGAGTCTAAATAATAATTTTCTAATTACTTTATTCAAAATAATTCAAATCTTTCTACATTCTATAAATTTTTAATAATATATCATCTTTACATAATGAAAATTTTTCCTCTTTCCAAAAACGATCGCACCCAGATACCCTATTCTTTTTCTTTCTTTTTTTTTTATTAATGATAAAAAGCTACAAGCCCCGCACAAAACAATCTCCATACACAACTGAAATCTCTTATACATATTCCTAATTGATGAATTGCGCCATATCCTCAATATTTATTCCATATTATCTTTTCCTTCCTAAATTGCTTATGTAGTCTATATACAGTATTACTGAATACAATTTTATTCCAAGGTATACCTACGAGAAAACTGTAAATACATATATTTTCATGCTGAGCAAAGATTAAAGATGAATAGAATAAACATTTAACTTCTACTCGTACACAATAATAGTTTTAAGCTATCTGTAATACTGTACATAGCTTGTATAAATAGAAATTTCTTCAACTATCTTTCTCTCTACTAAATAGACAATAGAATATTATTTCAAAGCTCCAAATTAAACGCAACCTTCTTTGCTATTTATTCGAACCTTGGCTACAAATTAACTGTATGTTTGTAGGTCTATCCCTCTGGGCGTGTGGACAAACAGGCATGTTTGCATTCCAAACCCCGCTACTGGACATGTTACTGTTCTCAGCTTTAATATCGGCTGTGGACCCGGTCGCGGTGTTAGCTGTTTTCGAAGAAATTCATGTAGACGAAATTTTGTATATAGTAGTGTTCGGAGAATCACTTTTGAACGACGCAGTAACCGTCGTTTTGTATCACATGTTCGAGGCTTATACGTACGTATCACGTGACAGTTCCCACACTACACTATTGATTGTACGGGTTTGTTCTACTTTTTGTGTTTGTCTTATCTATGGAGGCTCGTAATGACACATTTCTACGTCAAATTGAGAGCTTTAGGCAAGTAGGTGAACCTAGGCCTACCATGATCTTAAAACGTATTGAGATGGATAGTTTAGGGTGCCAATTGGCTCGAAATAAGAGGTCATGGTTGTAGAGCTTGACCCACGCCATCGATTTTTTATCTACCTTTATCTTGTTGCGACTTAACGTGAACTTCTAAACTTCTAATCTTATACGTATACATTGTTGACGTATAGAAGTCCGATTTAGCACTAAGTCTCCTCTCTGTATGACATATTTATTACACTATGCATTCTTTCACTATACGAGTGTGCCTTTGGCACATAGAAAATAAATTAGCACACAGCCGGATTGAACGTATGGCCATAGTTCAGAATCCCCTGCTTAAACACTTGGCTAACAATGATGTGTGATAAAAGAACATGCTATTACTGAAAATGACGTCTCATTTTCCCGCCGGAATAGGAACTATAAAACGTTTGGTGCATTGAACGTTAAATATTATATTGATAACATCTACCAGTTAAAGAATACATATACACACATATTGTTACTGGAAGACAATTCCCATTATTTTTAATGAAAAGGTTTAAGTTTAATCTCGTTTATATTATGCTTAAGTTAATGTTTGTTGAAAAAGTGTTAATGTAAATAAATAAACTCAAGTTTTCAATAGAAATAACATTCAGGAGCTATGAGGTTTATAGAATGTTAGAATAACGTGTTTACAATTCAAAACACTGGTGATTTATATTCTCTTTGTATTGCAGTGAAATGGGACCATCAAAATTGATGTATACAGACTTTCTCGCTGGTTTCGGATCATTTATAGTAGTGGCCTTCGGTGGGACGTGTATTGGGGTGGTGTGGGGTTTTGCAACTGGCCTCGTGACACGATTCACCCATGAAGTTAGAGTTATTGAACCGATTTTCATCTTTGTAATGGCGTATCTGGCGTACTTAAACGCTGAGATGTTTCATATGAGCGGGATACTTGCGTGAGTAAAATTTTATTACATACACGCTTTTTAACCCGGTTAAAATATGATAAATATGTATGATTTTATATTTACGTCAATCATAGACAAGACGTAGAATGTTGTTGGTCAAAATGTAAATTTATGTAGACAAAACAATAGTTTTCTATCCAGGTACAAAGTAAACGTTATATATACTTATGAAAGAATGACTATTTATTCCATGATATACATTATTTATAATTAAAACACGCTTCTTTTTTATATTCAAATAGAGGCCCCGATAGACATTGTTCTGTACCCACGTCTTAATTAATAAAAAAGAACCTATTGTAAAATTACTCTCTCGAATCCACTTGAATACAAAAGTTTCATCAAAATCGGTCCAGAGCGTAGTAGAACTTTAATTAAACACACGCACAGAAGATTTATAAAGATTTAGCCGAACGAAAAGAACAATTTAAGAGACGTCAAGTATAATTCACTAACTTTAGCTTCTTTTCCTCAATTCAATTCAACGTTTGTGTAATTAATTTTGTTTCAGAATCACATTTTGCGGGATCACAATGAAGAATTATGTCGAAGCCAATATATCGCACAAATCTCACACAACAATTAAATATACAATGAAAATGTTGTCGTCATCATCTGAAACTATTATTTTTATGTTCCTCGGTGTTGCCACTGTGAATAATAATCATGTTTGGAACACTTGGTTTGTTCTATTGACCATAGTTTTCTGTTCCGTGTTTCGTATTATAGGTATGTATTCTGTTCATAGCTGCTGCCGTCTGGGCAATCGAATTATCGAATTTTAAATAAAGAATCACGTTATGATACAATGAATAACGACCATTTTGTTTTTTAGAAATGCAAATCTAATCATAAATAAAAGACAAGCGAATCTAGTGTTTTTTTCAATTTAAAAATATAACAAAAACAAGTTTTGTTTAAAGAGCGCTCTTTGATGAAGACATCTCTTAGGGTCGAGACTTAGAGCAAACTCTACTTAAGTCCTACTTAGCGCAAACGTTTTTGAATAAACTTAACTCCTATATTAAAAAATACAATTTGATCTCGACTTTGTATTTTGTCATTAATCGCAAGTCTCCTCTGAGCGGTAACCCGCAACAAATGCGCGCTAATGCAAGCTTATTTAAATAAAGTAATTTCAAGTGAATTATGTGCGTAAAGTTGTATTATTATTTTCAGGAGTGTATATATTAAGCGCGGTAGCAAATAAGTTTAGATTGCACAAATTAAAAACTGTTGAAAAGTTCGTCATGTCTTACGGAGGTAAGTTTACCTGTAATTAATTTAAATAAATCCCTAAAATATTTCTGAAATGCTTCCAACTTTGTTTACTCATTCATTGCTTCAAGATTTATGAAGAGCGTGGTGTAATGCTTACAGCTCCTTACAAGTATCTTGTAAAGACGGCGTTATAAAAAATGACGAAAAGAATTGCCAGTTCTCGCCTTGCTGTAAGACCTGGCAGGAAATATAAATTAAGAATCATTCAATTTCCTTTTTTCTGGTATATATTATATACAATTGTATACACTGGCACTACAACCTACTTACTACTTTATCTCACTTGCAAAGATTGCCTCAGATTTCCGTGTCTCTATCATATTATTTGTGAATTATATTTTCCTTCGTCATACAAGCGAGTGTTACAATTTACATGCGCACATACGAAGAAACCTCGTTTGAAGGCGCACGCTGAAACCAACACTGCTCAAATCTGCATAACATATTAAAACTCAAAGAGATATTCACTCTAGGTTTAAGAGGTGCGGTGGCATTTGCGTTGGTGCTATTAATAGACCCAAAAGTGGTGAAACTACAACCCATGTTTGTGACGACCACTATAGCGGTCATCTATTTCACTGTCTTCATACAAGGCATCACAATAAAACCATTGGTGAAGATACTCAACGTAAAAACTGTGGAGAAGCGCAAACCGACAATGAACGAGAGGATTCATGAAAGGGTATTTCTATATTTATGGTTTTATATATTGTACATAATAATACCAAACAATACATTGTGTGACGGGTGTTCTCTTGGTTTAAAACAAGTTATATTAATGATTTTGGACCCTGAAATATGTAATTGAAATTAAGTAGAAATTAGAATATAAGATTTCTAGTTTAATCTTTTAAATTGACTGATATTTTCTATGTAGGATAGAATGGGAACTTTAAGCTTTAGAGTTATTGTTTAATTAATTTTGTAGTACTTTCAGTAATAACTAGACATATTCACACAAAGTAGCAATATAATTCACGGTTTTTACGCAGCTTTTTTGCTTTAGTTCTTAATAATAAAAATATATAATTCATATTTTATTAAAAACTACGATAATAGTTTTTATATAATATAAAAGAACCATTTTCAGCAAAGTTTTTTTTATTAATTCGTAATTATGCGATTGGGCAAAATAAAACTATATACTATATATAGTGTTAAATTATGTATAAAAATTTATTGTTTAATTTACTTACAGTTTATGGATCACCTCATGGCAGGCATTGAAGATATTTTAGGAAAACATGGCAATCACCATATACGTGATAAGTTCAAGAGGTTCGATAATCGGTTTATTAGGCCATTTTTACTACGCAATTATCAGGTAATTGATATATTTGCCAAAGTAAATATATATATATTTATTTTTATACTCTTGTAAAAAAACTTTGGCAATTTAAAAGACTGACGGAAAGTTAATGGCCAGTTCTTCTCATCTGTTCCTCGATTTGAGAGAAAATATAAATTTAGAACGATTATTTTTTTACTGATATTCGTACATAAGTTACCTATGTGAATAAATTATAATTTGATTTTGATTCTTACTAACGAAGGATGCGTTGTTGTAACCACGCAATAAGTAAAATTATAATATTACATTTTTCTATTTGTATTGACAAAAAAATTGTACTAAGAATATTTTGTCATAAGAAACTCAGTACATTTTTAATAATTACAAATTCAATTTACTGAATATACATTTATTTATTATTATATTATATTTATTATTATATTGATGCTTGTGTACTTCCAAATTAAGTTTTCCACAAATTACATGTACATTTTGCCTGGTTGAAAAGAAAGAGTTTTTATGTGTAATACTTTTGTCAGGGTGCCGAGCCAAAGATTCTAGAAACATATTCCAAGTTGGCCATGAGAGATGCCATAGAGTACATGCAGAGAAACGCCTCAACAATTGGTAACATTTCCGGCGCTGAGTCAATGTCGGCTATATTTAAGAATTATACTAATGCCAATTTAAATGGAAGGTTCGTCTTCTCTTAATCAGATCTCTAGTTTTATCAGCATAGTCTAGAATGTCCAGTGTTACTAGTGCCACGTAAGTTCCGCGTTATAAAAATCATAACTCCTTATTCAGAGTCGTCAAATTAATTATCTTTTATAAAATATAAATATATATATATATTTTAGTTTAAAAAATTATGACAATTATTGTTAACTACACAAATTAGTATGACTAGCGGAAGTAAAGGGGGTTTAGTCTACTGCATACACTAACTGTTAAGGCGTCTTGTCTAAGCCCCCAGGACTGTTCTTTGCTTCTTAATGGACGACTTTGAAAATGGCTTAGAACAATTGCGTACTCAGATTATGGTTCCCACAGATAATGCTATTTGTAATTCTAATCTCATTATAACGTAGCACCTTTATGCATTTACACCAGATCAATAAACACCTACTGATTGTGTTTAATTATTTCATACTATTTATCAATTAATAGTCAACTCTGCCGTGTTAGAATGCTAATTTTAGTTTTCTGTATAAATATGTTTTCTTTGCATTTCTTTGCGACTCGTATTTTGATATTGAACACGTTATGTTATTCTTTATTTTAAAAGTATAAAACGCAGTAAGTCATTTCGTTCTTCCATATTAACTATTTAACAATGTATTAACTTATCAAAATATATTTTTCTTTTGCACTCCATATTTGATTTCTGTGTTAATACCAAATAGGTTTTCTTCGTAATCCACTGGTCATAGGAAGGACTCGTATTTTGATATTGAAACGTTGTTATGCTTTATTTTAAACTATAGAACGCATTATGATCTTACGTACATAAATTACAATTTATCAACTAATCAATATTATTTTGCAGTCCAAGTTTCAGTCAATTAGATTCGTCTACGTGGAACATAGACATGCAAGAATTGGAATATAATCCGTCCAAAAAGGATTTGACCGATGCAAGAATTCACCACCTACTCGCTGAAGAGTTGTGTAAACCTTATAGACGGGTAATTATTTGGAACAAAACAATTATTCGTTTTAAGGAAATGGTTACAGCCCCTATATTTTGGATATATTTCTATTATCAAAAATAGTCTTGTGAAAAAATGAATTTTCGACATTTAAATGGCTATACAGGCTGTCCCAAAAGTCGACGTCAAGTCGAAATTTTCTCATAGGTAATGCCACACCAGTTATCAGAAAAAAAAAAATAAGTCATGTATTTTTGAAGTTATGGATATTTTTTTGTTATTCCAGAAAATGCACACCATGTGACAGATTTTTCATTCCTGTTGTTACAAATATTTACTTTTTGCCAATTTTTTTTCTCTTACGTCATCCCGAATAGTGTTTTATGTAACCTATGATCCTAAACTCTGTGCTGATTACTCCAACTTTTAGGAAAATGTCATTTTATACCGTACCAAGTTTTCAAAATTAATTTTCGCACTACTTCAACTGATCGTCCTGATTGTAAAAAAGTAAATATTTGTAACAACAGGAATGAAAAAACTGTCACATGGTGTACATTTTCTGGAATAAAAGGAAAATTTCCATAACTTCAAAAATACATGACTTAATTTTTATTTTTTTTTTTCTGATAACTGGTGTGGCATTACCTATGAGAAAATTTCGACTTGACGTCGACTTTTGGGACACCCTGTAAATTGTATGAGTGCCAAATAATTTTTATATAAACTATCAGTAATTGTCAGTTTTCCCAGTTTAACTGTCCGCTGCAACCTTAAACGCGTAGAGAACAAGATAAAAAATAAAAAATAAGATAAAAATCTGTTTATTCATTTTAAGTAGGTACATATGCATTACAATGTGTAAGATTTAGGAACCCTTTTAAGTAAGAAATACCTGTGTCAGGGTTCAAATGAAGGGGATACATGTATAGAATGTATAATATATTGTATATTTTGTAATATTTAGTGGCAAATAACTATTAATATATTTTTGTTGTAACAACTGATGTTGTTACTTACAAATTTTCGATTATTACAGCATCGCCGTTTGAGCTACAGCCGTCACGCTGTGAACGACCGCGATTTGGGCATGCAAGTGAATTACAAAACGCACATGAATATACGTCGATTAGTCGGTGATAGAAAGCATCACCACAAGCGCAGTAAGCGTGGGAAACAGGTGAGGGTAAATAAATCTTTTTATCACATTTATTAAAAATAGCTAGTTAGTAAATAAATATGAAGTAAGATAACTTTTTAATCTGTAGGATTAAAATTGATTTAAATTTAGAATGTGAATATTGTTAGTAAATGATTCAATCACCAAAGAGATCGATTACGAAAATTTTATAAAATATCTGCTGTCAAATAAATAAAAACTTGAACCCACATCTAAATGTACAAAAAAAAATATTACTTAGATCTATTAATTGTTCAAGAGAATTAAATGCATTACACGATAAGCAATTGATATGAATCTACTTTCTATTAGTCTAATTTCTGCAAGTCAGTGCTAAGTCATAATAGTCAAGTATGTATTCGTCGATTTCGTTAGGCAACTCTGTACCCAATGTTAATTTTTTCGAAGTCGCTTGAAATAAGCCGCGCGGGGACTAATTTCAAAGCATTGTGTATATGTAAATGTGTTTTTTGGAACGCGCATACCTTCCTTTGTTATTGTTTGTACGTTCCCAGTTGATATCTAATGATTCCATATTGTTTGGATTCAATTATTTTATTATTTTTATTTTGTGGTTTTTCGCGTACTGTAAATAATTTGAATATGTGTATAAGGTAGTATAGGCTTTAGGCTGTCTAAAGACTGCTACTACATAACGTTTTATTGATTAAAGGAATATAATAAATGGACACATTTTTAAATTTATAAGGTAAATTAAATAAAATAACGTTTGTCATTATTTTCATAAAGCGGTAATTTTGTAATAAAATATATACTATAGTAACTCTTGGTATTTCTTGTTTACGTCGCTACGATATCCGAAAATCGAAAAAAAAATTAAAAAAAAGTTGTCGTTTCGTTGCCGTTCATCTACATTATCTACGAAAATATAAATACATTTAGGTCGATTATTGCTTATATCAAATAAGCAACATAATTTGTTCGAAGGGCATAAATATATTTTGGAACGTTGCCAGGAAAGTCAATACGTTTGACGAATAATGAAGTCAGTTTCGTTTGTAAATGATTCCTTTCAATATTAACTATCTATGAAGAAATACTGTTTAGATTGATTTATTTCGTAATCATACAGCTAACATAAATTAAGTATAACAAAAAGCAATACTAAACAGAGAGCTAAAGGTGGAATACAGAATATATATAAAAGGTTCAAACTAAGTATAAAATATTTTAAACACGCACGGTTCAAACATATTTAAAAAGTAAAGAATAAAATAATTAAATGCATACCAAAATAGTGTTTTATTAAATATATAAAAAGGTTCAAACATTTACGAAAGGAAGAAACATTAAATGCATTTAACAGTAATACCTAATTCGGCTGTGTTGTGTGACGTTGAAACTATGTGGGGTGTGCTCATGATGCAGGTTTTCAGCGTTTTCTATGTTCTTATTTTATTGTAAATGTAATTTAGTATCGTCCGACGAACTCTCATTACCCTTTTTTGTATTAGGGATTGTTATTTGACAACCCCTCAAAATCAGAGATTATCTTATATAACCTATTTTTCAGGATGGCAAAAATGTATCCTTCCCCGAATTCCAGCAAAATGGTTCGGCCAAACAGTTCACGCACGGTAAAAAAAAGTATTATAGATTAGGTACTTAAATAAATTACTTACTAATATCACGAGTATCAGTCGCATGCACGCGTTGGTTTTGGTAATTTTTTTTATTAGTTACGCCATACATGATTTTGTTATGACTGTGTTGTGGTTTTTTACACAAAATACTCGTTTTAGATATGCTTTTTTATGTTAAACGCAGCTAAGTTTTAGTTTTGCACGTGCTCACAATAAAATTCGTAAATAAATATTACACACAATAGTATGTTAATATCTTGGGTGATGAGTGAAGCTTTCCTTTCAGATTATATTGATGAAGTGTTGCAAGAGGATGATGAGACTCCACGGCGGGACAATGATGATGGTGGTATTACCTTCACTGCCAAATCTCCACGTAGGTATTTTGCATGACTGTGCTCCCTTTGAATTTAAACTTGTCCAAACTTTGTAAACCTTCGTATTATCGCGGGAGTACATTATATGGTAAACTTTCTGGGTCGATAAAAAAAATTATATCTCTTAAAAATGCCTATATAACAAATCATTAATCATTTATTAACAATACGGTTATTATAAGAGTAAATAAATACTTTTTTGAAATTGATATTACTGAATAGACACTCCGTTTTTATTAAATATAATTTCATTACTGTAATAATTGTTATATTAATAATTATCATAACTAAAATTATATTGAATTTTGGGCACTATGTATATAATGGCGTTTAAAATATTTAATGAATCCAAGTTTGAATTCAATATTTGATGTTGTGAATACTTGTTTGCTGCTTAATTACTTTTTTATTAAAGTTTTTTTTTATATCAGAGGACACTCTTGGACTAAATGTAAAATTTACAATAATCGAACATTCCAATCGAGTATATTTTGTCTAATATTTTAAGCATGCTTTAAATATTCTTGTGCTTCTAACAGCACAGTGTTTTTATTTGTGCTCAACGCTTGTTATTTTTATTATGGCTAATTACTTCCGCCAGTTAACTAACTATTCGCTGTACTTTTAATTGCTCTTTTCGCTTGTTCAATATCATTTGTTTCATTGTTTTCTTTCCCTTCTGGCATTCTTCATGACACAACTGGTAATTTTGGCAACTGGACACAGCTGGATTTAAAGAAGTCAGTCCAACGTCCTCTCATAAGGAAAATAGTAGTTCTCTCCTGAACCAATTAGCAAATTTGCCCGGATTTAACCCTTTGAAGGCAAGGATCGTTAAACAATACGTTAAGACACCAGAGGAAATTCTACCGACGGCTGTTGAAAAGTCTTTGCCGTGGAGAAGAGACCGATCTACTTACAACTTTGGTATGTGGACGAAACGTAGTTGGCACTTCTTGACCGCTTCTCAGAACTTTGTTTTCGCGATGTTCTTTTGTTTCTCTTGTTCTATTTTCAATTTTGTTTGTTATTATAAGTTTTTTGTATTATATAGGTTAAGCTTAACACTTCGCTTTACGAAAGTCGCTTTTGTCGTTGCGCATGGGTAGCGTAAGTATATTTTTTGTTTTATTATTAGAACAAGATACAGCACTAATTCATTAACATGCCATTTCCGTTATCACTACATATTATGTATTAAGAACTGCATTTCCATTGAAATGTTGCCAAAATTAAATTTAGCGGCGCGTACTTGCATGTACGATCGCATATGACACATCTTCTAATGATTGGTTTTCTTTTAGTACCTAACGAAGATATACTTGAAGAAGATGAAAGGAGAATGTCGGACGAACACGGTAACTGCCATTTTTCATGCCCTTTTTCCGGAAAAAACTATTTTATTATTTTCATATCGTAACATTAGATTAGTGTAGTAACACGTAAAATATATTGCTATTGATTGAAGCAAATGCCGTAAAACAAAGCTAAATAATATTGTTATTACTGTACAGCAACTTTTATAATCAAAAATATCTCTTATAATAAGTTACAGGACGTAATAATTTTGATTTTATACAGATACATACATGGCTGTAATCGAACAAGCGAGAGTTGCAACCCCAACAGCAACGGAAACCATGTTGCCATGGAAACGAGATGACACAGAGGGTAGCGGCGCCCTTAAACAATCCGAATTCCCCTCTTGGGCCTCTAATAAGGAGTATCTGGCTTACAGTTCACCCTCGGCTACATATTTGGGTAAAATAATTAAATTGTTAATATTGTGTGTACTGATAGATCTTTTATCATGTTTAATCAATTTTAAATTGATACGAGTGTTAGGACAAAATACATAAAATATTTATAATTTATTTAAAAAAATTTTTTTGTAATAACTATAATATTATCAAGTTAAGAGTAATATTTTGCATGCATTGTCTTACCCAATTTTGCATGATATTTAAACATTGGCAAAATATTGGTATTGCATGTATGTATTTTATTTCTTTGCACCGAATTCCAAATATAGCACTTTTTAAAAATGTTTCCTCAGTAATGTATTTGTACCAAGACTTAATTTGGCACATTCCCTGATATTCCCGACAAATTATTGATTGTTCTCTAATATAGATAGTTCAACCTTTTCAACTCATAGATTTTTTTTTCTTCCTACCCATATACCTATCACAATCCAAATAGGTGGAATAGAGAAGCCAAAACATCCAAAATCTATCATAGGTCTATTCCGAAGAGAGAGTTGTAGCTCTACCCAGGGTGGAGGGGAGATACTTTTGTCAGATTCGGAGGGAAAAGCAGATTCTCTCAAGGGCGATAGTTCTTCGTCAAAGGGTGAACCTTCAACGGCGAGGCATGCGCCCAGCATGCTGTCAAAAAGGAGTACCAGCCTTGGTGGACCAAGTGTGTTGTTAATGGAGGACGTGGCTCATTCAGACCCATTAGGGGCGTCGTCCAGACCTGCAAATATACTGCAAGGTCCACATCGGGGACAATGTAGAAGAGGATCTATGTTGGAGCTTACTGGGTAGGTGGAATACATATTTAGGTTCGCTCCTTAGTAGTTCATCCCGTATCGTCCCAATATGGCATGGAGCAGGTACATTCCTACGTCTGTTACATTGCTAGGTTTTCACAAGTATAGCAAATAACAATAAACCTCTGTGTCTATTCATTAAACAGCTCTCATTGTTTCAGCGGGAATAGATCGGGTTAGAACTCATGTGTGTTAATCACTAAGTCTAAGTTGTCATACATAATTAAATTATTTAATTATTTACACTTCGTTACCTTCAATATACATATAAAAACAGATTACATTAGGTTTGGCAACGGGCGGCCTTATCGTTAACAAGCAATTTGTTCCAGGCAACCATATTATGGAATAAATTAAAAAACGTACTAAGGGTAAAGTACAAGAAGTGCATAAACGAAAAAAAGATTAAATTAAATGTAACACTAGAAATAACCAACTAAAACTAAACTGAAATCCGCTATTTTGCTATTATTATTTGTTTTTGTTTTATACATTTGCATTTCTCGAACAGCTTATTCATAATTCACAAATGTGACAAGTTACTTGATTAGAGTATTCTTCAGGTCAATTTACAGGATTTTCCAATTTGAAATGAAAATGGTGCAGATCTAATTTTGAACGAGCGATACATGTACATTACACGTAGGTTTAATAACATTTATGTTAACATTTCAGATCTCTATCAAGAGATGCCATCACCGAAGAGAAATGTAGCAAGTCCTTACCCGAGAGTGAGCGTATGGGTATCCGCCGCCTCGCTTTAGGCCAACAAACCCTACCGCGCGACTCTTTCAGCCGTCAGCATACCACACACCTAACCAGCTCATCATCAGATGACTCTTCCGATGAAAACACCTGAGTATCAAGACGTGGTGACCAAGATAGGTTGCCACTACTTAAATATAGGACCTTGGAATAAAGAATTGCATTTGCATTTACCACGCTAGACTAGCATTACAATGCGCAGACGCAATTATTAAATTGCTTTAGATTTAATAGCATGTTCAATGATATAAGGTTAAAAATATTAAGGCTTAGTAAAATGTGATGTTATCTCCGCGAAATGATGAACTGCATTACAGAAACAAGTGCCCGTGCTAGTTTCGTTACATGCAGTGAACTTTTTAAGGTCCAATTTAATAAAAAGACATCTTAAACAATGTAATTACATTGGTTAGTTTCTCACCCAGAGGTTCTTTTAAAAAATAGTGTTGTAGCTGGAACCGTAACGTTTAATTATATATCATTGAACCTAGTAATGTTGAGCATTTAAAGCAAATTTTTTTAGTAAAATAGCTAATGTAATTTGTCCTGTAAATATGTTATTGCTTAGAAACATATTTTATCGTAGTTACCGAAAACTGTTAAAAATTATTTACAAGTTACAGAACTATGTGATATTATTACAAACTGACGGGTTTTTGAAGGCAAATTTTCTTTTCCAAGCTTAGTTTTCAAGTGAATCAACAGTATTTTTCTATAACTCTTTGTAATGTGCGTTGACTAAAGAATAGGTGAAGTAGACAATTTAGGTAGTATGTTAAATTATTGTAATTAATGGGACTTGCCAATGACAATACACAATTAAATTAATTATTGTAATCTTTATTTAACTTATCTTAGTAACGGGTGTTTAGGTGTTTAGCTGTTAATTTGTTTGGGCGGTAAACTTATAACAAAAACAGCAGAAGACACAGATCTAGCTCATAGATACTGTTTGAATTTCGGAAAAACGCGCATGGACGGAACAAGAGAAAGGTATATAATCTGTGTAACTACATTAAATGTATAACATATTAAACGACTTGAATGATCAATTTATTTTTAAATTGTGACGGAAAAAGTATCTAAATATTTAAAGTATAATTTGTATTTTTGTAGTGAATTTCCATCTTGAGATCACGGTTTGAGGAAAAATTAATTTATTGCAAACATTAGTATAGTGTATGGTATACGTAGAATATACTTCTTTTAATATAGTTCCTGAATATATAAAAATATGTCATTGGCAATGTCTGTCTTCTGTAGACTTAATAAAATGTTACAAATTAACCTATATATTTATAGCTAAACTATAATTTAAGATTATTTCAATTTCATCCTTGGGTTATATTATTACGTTAAAATACTGATTCTTGTTTTCATACAAAAATTGTACCAAATACAAGAATTGTGATATTGTATATAACATATTTAAAAAAATATACCTACCTTTTAATCAAATAGAAAAATTAATCAGGTATAGGTTAGTGAATTGTAGAAAAGTTGACAATAGATTAGAAAATATTGTATGTTGTTATACTTGCACCTTTAAAATTAACTTTATTTTGACGCTTTTCTTTAAACTACTCAAAATAGTTTTTAGGAAAATGCTTTTAAGTTAGCTAGTAAAGATTAAGTGTAACCTTTTGACACTTACCTGTAGGTAGAAAAAAATAAGTTTTATGTTTTCATGTAAAAGTTACATAATACAGTTTAAGCTTTTCTAATAACATCAGTGTGTCAATTGAATGATAATAGTGCCTAGTACCTATTAACCTACGAAATACAGCTCACGCAGTACAGTGTTAGGTACGTAATAATTAATTATAATAGTGTGATAAATGTGTAAAGAACTATTGAAATAAAATAATGATAAAGAAACTTCTTTTTTTTAACCTATTCAAACTGTGAAACTCAACTAATAGTACGTAACTAAGATCAAAATCAATCAAAATACATACGTTTATTCAATTTAGATGCTTCTTAGAGCATGCTTATGAATGTCAACAACGTTTACAAAATTCACGAAAGAGCAAGACTACGCCATCCGTTCGCAAAACTACCAGGAGGCCTTGTTCTGAGAAGAACGGGCAAGAAACTCAGCAAGTTTAAGAGAATACAAGGAAAAGTTTGTTTGCTACTTTTTCACGTAAATCTCGATCTCGAAGTACTTATCAGAACGATTTCGTGTCTTAATTTTCTCGTAGTTTGTTAATTTTGTACCGCCAAATTCGTTGAAGCAGTCTGATTACTAAGAAGCTAAAGAGCAAACAGAATAATATTATAATAATGTCTAACTTCTACGCTATTGCTATATTAGTGTACCTACTCTTTATTCTACGTTAATATTACTTTAGAAAATATTACAAATTAGATTTGATTATTTCAATTTTTATTATTTACAGAGTACTAAATATTATTTCAGATATATAAAGCTACATTCTGTATTTGATTAAAAAATCAATTTGATTTTATTTGCTAATGAATTGCTCTATAATGCCATCTAGGTCACCATGCATACACTACACAGACGAAAACTATGCTATGCATTGTCGCAACTCTCTTGTCTATGAGCTTGTCACGTCTATAGACCAAAGCCTTGGCATTTGTCAGCTGACAAATTGACACTTGACAGTTAAAGTTCCCAATCTAATCAGAATCATAGATCAGCCATAAAAATTAAAATCAGCTTCTCGCTAGCTTGCTTCTTGATTGCTTGTTCCTTCGGATTTTATTGATAAAAATTTCATGAAAAGTAACGGAAAATGCAGTGTAACTGTAAAACTTTTCTTTAAATGGTCTTAAATAAGAAAAACAAAAGTGTAAATAACGATCTTATGGTTTATATTGTGAATATGTGTTTGGAAAGAACTTCACGGGGATGAAACATACATAAGCTTTTTATTTAGGAAAATAAAGAGGTGAGTGAATTTATTTTTATTATATATCAAAATTGTAACATCTACCTGAATATAGTAAAATATAATTATCGCCCATGAAGGCTGTTTTTACGTGGTAAAATCACCTTTCTAATGAGTAGTTGGCGGATAAACGCATACTTACCTACATTTGTTTATATTGTCATTGTTGTACATTACTGTTAATGTTGGACAACTTAAATAATTTTAACCTGTGAAAAAGAAGTGCGCTATATCTTATTCTCAATTATGCCGATTATCTTATCGTAATATATGGATTTATCAGTTGAAGTAGATAGGTATGTGAGACAATTTTTATTTGGAAAACAAGTTTTGTTTTCAAATTCCAATATGTTCATAAAATTTATATTCATTTTTGTTATGGAATTAACTTTTTAATTTTTAATTTAACAAAAATGGTTATATTAACCTTGTTAAAGTACTCAAATCAATTTTATAAAAGTTGATAACTCTGGCTTAGGTACATTTTGTTAAGATAAACTATATGTATTAGTTATTTTAGACAAACACATTTAAAATGAAATATTATATACTGTAATAGCAATTAAAGTTTCCTTCAGAACAAATTCAACTTCTTGGTCATTCAGCATTTTGTTAAGATAAACTATATGTATTAGTTATTTTAGACAAACACATTTAAAATAAAATATTATATACCGTAATAGCATTTAAAGTTTCCTTCAGAACAAATTCAACTTCTTGGTCATTCAGCTAAGAAATTAATATCTAATTGTCATTTTAATTACTTATATAGCTAGATATATTACCTCAACTCATCTAGTAACATAATATCTAATTGTTATCAAGGACTAATAGTACTATCAGATTAATTAGAAAAATTGAAACTTAAAACTAAAGATAAGTTCAATTAATGGTTGGTAAATATTTTACAATTGATACTTATTAATGTTCATTAACTGTATTTATTTAACTATTGTTTCCCATTTATAAAGGGATGGTCTTTACCTACTATTTAGTTACTACATCTATATATGCACAATGGACCTAATGAGAATCTAAGTGCGGAAACTGACTTTCAAGCATCACATATGTTAAAATGGTGACAACGAAACAATTACAAAATAAGTAAGACAAATTTCACTCTTATGTTGTGAAATTACCTGAAAATTTAAAAATCGGGTCAGTGTGCTAGCTATATCCATCCAACGTCTATACTATAGAATCATAGTTATGTAGACCAAATATTTAATGTTTTGAAGGAAATTCTAGACTGAATAGATCAAGAATCTCTCATTAGTATTGTTTTCATTGTTTAAGATACTAGCAGAATGGAGCATGCTGATTTGGTGTCTGAGATGGCACAGGTGGAGCATCTGACTACTCAGGAGCGGCTTCACCTAGCCCGTAGGTGAGTAACTTAACTAATCTTTATCACTAACACACCTTTTCTGCAGTATGTAAAATTTTAGATTTTAATTTCCCTTGAATGTAATTATTATTGATTCACATTTTTTTTAAATTATTAAATGCCAAAATTAAATTAATTAAAAGCTTCTAACTTTAACAATATTAACAGTTATGTTATGTCATATGTGTATATCACCTTATTCTAATAGCCTTAATTACATAATGATTATTGTATTTATTTATTATCAATATGAGTTTTATAATAATTCCTTGGATTACTGTGATTAATCTTATGATATTGCAACAGAGTTCTTGGCCTTGCTAATAAGTTCATTTCTTGCATAAATTGCGTTTACGCGAGGACAATGGCGTCTTGGTTGTAGTAATTTTTTTTATCTGACATACGCTTTACAATTTTAAATGTTGTAATTTTTTTAATGACACTATCTTTATTTGTAAAGATTTTGGGGTGGTTTAGCATAAACACTAACAATATTATGCCTTTTTTTGTTATTCTATGTGCATAATGATGCTTATTCCAACCATAATGAGAGGCTTCTTATACAATATGGTGTACGTTAAGGTTGAGTCGTTTCGTGCTATAGCGTGAAGCCACTTAGCGTGGAGAGGGGCCCTGACAATAGCCAGATAACGTCTCTAATATAATATTGATAAGGTATAATTTATGACGTAGAAACAATGCACCCGTTCCTCCGGCTTACCAGCTGTGATAGTGTGATATTACGGAACATATGGTTTTTATGTTTAACTTGTTACCTTTGGACGCCGCTTATCTCATATTTAAGGTCATACGCGAAACAGTTTAGTAAAAACAAAGGTAAACTACAAAACTTTACCAAAGATTTTTCCTTGTTAGATCATCATATTTTCGTTTAATAAAATAAAATGTATGTCTATAGGAACATGAAAAAACGTTTTCTACTGATTTAAGTTTCGCTAACAAAAGGCGATCGATTTAAAATTTTGTTGATAAAGTCAAATTTTGGATATCTAGTCCGATAAATTCTTATCTATGATAGACGTAGAGTTTGAATGATAATTTTATACAAATAGGTGATGATGATCTTTGTGAATTTAAACCTTATACATCCCTATCCATAATCGCACTGTAAGCCTCAAATAGCTGTTTCTAATATTACGAGATATATGGTTTAGTTTCAAAAACGTGTGGGAGTCTAGTTCGCGGTAAGTCTCGACTCTGAATCTTGCCCTTGAATATTTGAATGAATTTGTCATTATCACTCTAATTTTACTGCTAATGTGTAAAAGTGACAAAACATTGTTAACAAATCTACGGTTATATACGTTTGATGTATGAATGTCTTCCCTAGTAACGGGAAGTATTTGTGCATATTGATATTTGGCAACTAAAATTGCTCAATTCCAGTCAATACTCGTCAATTATGACGTCACGACTACATCAAGCAATTTACGGCAACGGCAACAAGCATCAATACTGCGCAATACAATATTGAGCGATATGGCGCAACTTCATCAACTAGGCAATACTGTCATACACGAGCATTTCAGTTTTCGCTCGCTATGGACGACATTGTTCTTGCTGCGGCCGCTTGTAGTGCTTTTTTTATTATTAATCAAAAACAAAAACGAAAGAAAAGAAATAGGCGTATCTGGGTGCGATCGTTTTTGGCAAAGAAGACAAAATTTTCATTATGTAAAGAATTAGATGATATATTATTCAAAAACTTTACTAGAATGTCACGAACAGACTTTGAATTACTTTTGAATAAAGTTAGCCCATTAATTAAGAAACAGACGACCAACATGAGAGAACCAATTTCTGCATCAACAAAACTTGCTTTAACCCTTCGATTTCTGGCAACTGGAGATTCATACAAAAGTTTTAATGTATCTGTTTAGAATTTCTGATAGTTGTATTGCACTATTTGTACCTACTGTATGCAGAGCTATTGCAGAAGTTCTTCGAGAATATATAAAGGTAAGTTATTTTAATTTAAAAGTGAGGATATTTAATTTAAAAATAATTGTATTAATCAACCTTTTTATTTATTTAAATTCACAATTAAGTAGATTTTTAATTCAAATAAATCAATCAGTAGTAATGTACTCCACGGCAGTAGTATTTCAAAATGCAGTCAAAACAAAAAAAAAACAAAAATATAATGTTACGAGGAAACAGTTCAGTTTCATTTCCAATGTTTACGCTGAATGCTAGTTAATTAGCACACTGTAATTATTACGAACATTTCTTCGGCTTTGCAAAATTCCAAATGAATCAATTAAAAAATACGACATAAAATAATCAAGCTGTTGGCTATGTTTGACTAGACGGTAAAAAAAAAGGAACACCGTTGTGTGAACCAAAACAGAATGAAGTTGTAATTTATAAATAATTATAAAATATATTATTTAATTATTTATAAATTACAACTTAACTTAAATTTTATTTTAATTTATTATTTTTAATTTATTTATAACACAACAAACAGAGGCTGACTACGCGCTGGACTCTTGCCGCGCGCTATCCTACTTCCACCCGACCTCTCGCTCTCCCCGCAAGCAAGACGGCAAGCCGCAAAACAAACAAGTGCGAATGAGATATATACAAAAATTGCTAGGAATTTCCAAGTCCATTGGAAATTCGTCAATTCGTATCTGCGACATTGAGCGATATGAAATATCTGGAGCAATTAGAAGCAATATCGCCGAAATAATTTATTGAAATTTATTGAATTTATTGAAATTGCTCCATTAATTGCTCCAGATCGGTCCATTCGTGTTGCCGAGCAATTATTGCCCTCGTGTAAGCGCACCATTAGACGTTAGACGTCAACTTAGTGTTCTAAAGAACTTAGTTCTAAAAGAACTGGTTGTTCTTCGTGATTCTAAAGCACCCTGCAAATTTATCATCGAATTCATTAACCATAAATTCTCCACGTATTTCAAACATTACGATTTTAGAGCTACGGACATTGAGTGAACTAGATTTTAATTCGGCTTTATCGTCATAAATATTATTAATGTGCCAATTCTGGTAAAATATTAACCAATTTTACCTACCCTGCAACTCAAGCCTAGTGCGTTCTTGACCGCGCGAAAAACCAAGCTCGCCGAGGCAAGTTTTTGTTCCTAATGAAATGTATGAGTTTCGATATACACCCGTTTCCCGTTGAGGCACTTTACCGTGTCTTAACTATCGTCTTATAACATTTTATCTTTCAAATACTTGATTATACGTTTCTTAATCTCGTTGTTATAGACTAGCTCGCAAATTCGCTCGCGTTGATTTCGTGTATGTAAGCAAGATTTTAACGGCCTTAAAATAATTGTTTTATCCCTATCCCTTAATTTATAATAAAATCTCCCAATCTATGGTTTCTGTGATAGTCAAACTATCTAGATACAAAATCGCAAATAATTACGCCACCCGAATTGGATTTCGAATCTACACATGCCTTCCTGTCTTGGCATGACTCTGAGGTTCCAAAAACTAACATACACGCTTTTAACACTCTCAGCTACACTCTCAAATATTTTGGATCAAATTAATTTTTATACGCACGTGTATGACACAAGGCAGTGTAGCGATTTCACTTACAATTGCATGTGACGAGATAAGCGTTAAGAATTTGGAGGCTTTGACGAAATTTGAAAATGGAATTGTTACGCGGGTAATTGATTTGGAACGAAGCATAGTTGACGGTTTCTAGACAAGCGTCTGTGTCTACAGAATCGTGTCTTATTCGTTATTGTACTACAGTTTAGTAGTGCGAAAATATGTAATTTACTTCCTGATATTTACAGAAATACATAAAAAATAATGTCAAATTTAGGTTTATGGAATACAACTGTCTATTGTACTATGTGGTTGTTTATTCTAAATTAATTTTCTTGCTAAACGTTGAGTGCAACATCCAAAATATTGGTCGTAAAAAACGTCTTTTGAGTTACGAATCAAACTGTATTATACGAAAAAAATATTCCTTCTTGACGCAATAAAATAAAAATTCGTACTTTTTGTCTCTATATTTTTCGTATACTACTAATTGCGTCAATGACTAATTGTTAATAAAATAATTAAATCAGTGGCGCTACACCCTTTTTAAGTCTGGGCCTCAAATTTCTGTATCTGTTTCATAATCTAATGATTATCAGCAATCTCATAGGCAAGTAGATGATTAACCTCCTGTGCCTGACACACGCCGACTTTTTGAGTCTAAGGCAAGCCGGTTTCCTCACGATGTTTTCCTTCACCGTTCGAGCGAATGTTAAATGCGCACATAGAAATAAAGTCCATTGGTAAGCCGGGAATCGAACGCACGCCTCAGGGATGAGAGTCGCACGCTAAAGCCACTAGGCCAACACTGCTCCGATAACTAATGTTAGCGTATTTAATTTAAGCAATATTTGCGCGCATGTAATCGTTATTAACATTTTAAATTCAGCACGAAGGTATTGTTACGGTGTCAATTGGGAGCCAATTGTCGCAATAAATTTACGAGGTAGATACGTTTATACAATTGGTTATCTTTGTTCAAGGGATTACACTTAGGTAATATGTAGTTATTATGGAACAACATTTTTCATTTATTTATAAATTATTGTTAGACTTTTCAGCCAAATTTTAACAAAAAGATATTGTAGCTTAGGTTCTCTCTACCAGTATTGAGTAGTGTTTCCCAACGTGGGGCCCACACCCCTCACAGGGCCTTATTTTGATTGTTAAGTCGAAAATTTATTTGGAATTTAAATTTCAGTTTTTTATTATGTTTTGAAAATTTACTTATTGTGTTTCTTTAACAATTCCTAAATAATTTCTTCCTATCATTTATGTTTCTTAAGTGAACAATTGTATATTTTAATATTAAAAATGATGTATGTAACAGAAGGCATACAAATTTTAGAAAGGCTATGGTGGGGCATGGCGGAAAAAAGGTTGGAAGACACTGGTCCAGTGGCTTTAGCGTGCAACTAATCTCTGAGGTCGTAGGTTGATCC